AGGATAAATCAAATCTTTTCCATGAATGATACAAGAGTGGTCAGACAGCACCCTGTCAAAGGTGGAAACTTTGTGAGACCCTGAAAACCAATGCAGAGGTGCCGAGTTCCAGTTCTTACAGGTTTCACTATATGTAAATACGCACATGGATGAAGATCTCTACAAATAGATGTAGCAGACTTATGTCTATTTTCTCTTTGCTGTGTCCATATTTTTCAGTACATTTCATATAAATTTTTCTATTCTCTTTCTGTACAGTCCCTCTTATTTTAAATGGTTGGCTAGTAGGCCAGGCTAAAGGGGGAAAGTATGCTGGTCACAGACATAGGTTTTGAATGAAATTGGTAGATTGGAAGAATTAGAGAAAAATAACAAGATGAATGCCCCCCCCCCCCCGATGATTTTTGCCTTTAAGCCATCATAACAGACTTTCAAGACTAACTGAAGATGTCTAAATGTGATTCTCTGTCCTCTAGGCCCCTGTGTATGACTGGAGTCCTGAAATCCAGGGAATCATCCTCAGCTCCCTCAACTATGGCTCTTTCTTGGTCCCACTCCCTGCTGGCTATGTGGCTGGAAAATTTGGAGTTAAGCGTGTGGTTGGTGCTGGCTTGTTCATTTCCTCAATCATGATCCTCTTGACTCCACCAGCAGCTGATATTGGAGTGACATTGTTCATTGTCATTCAGGTTGTCCAAGGCATAGCACAGGTACCAGGAGATTTTCAACTTATAAGTGGTTCCAGCATGAATGCATACATCTAAGAATGAATTTTTCCCTAGGTTATGGTAACAACAGGTCAATTTCCAATTTGGGTCAAATGGGCTCCTCCAGTGGAAAGAAGTCAGCTCACCAGCATTGCCTCATCAGGTAATTGATATCCTAATCCTTCTCTCATGTTCACTGTTCAGAGTACTCTGCAATAATGAATCAATTGAGCCAAACTTTGTACCCAAACTATCCTTTCTCCATAAACATGCAATAAACCACTATCTTAGTCATAATGGAATGTTTTCTACATGCCAAAACTTTATTTAAACATGTACATGTTACACTTGTATTTGTTTACGATAACATACTCCACACTTATTGTTGCTATGTAACCACAGAGCAATCTTATTAATCAGGTGTTTAAAATTACTTCACAGGATAATGCGCTAGGCTGCAAGGTCAGTTTGAACCACAAGGTTGGTGGTTCAAATTCACTAGTTACTCTTCGGATATCCTATACAGGGTTGCTATGGGTCAGAACTCACTTGATGGCACTTAATATCAACAAAATAATTTTTCCCTTTTTACACAGAAGAAAATATGGACACAATGAGATCAGTAACTTGTCCAAGATCACAGAATTATTGAATGAAGGAACAGAAATTGAAAATCAGTATTCTGGATTAAAGTTCCTACTTATAATTCACTATGCAAACTGTCAAAGGGTCAAATAAGAGGAAGTACACAGACTCCAAAGCCTGACCGTTTCAACTGAATATGTTCACATCTTGTGTACAGGGTTATTGCTGGGACCCTTAATTGGCTTTGCTGTTGGTGGTCTCCTCTGCCAGGCTTTAGGATGGCCTTATGTCTTCTATATATTTGGTGAGTTGTACCTTTCAAATCTCTGAGTTTTATTAGATGACAGAAAATGCTTTGTATGACAACTTCATGGAAGTTGGCCATGGTTAACCAAATCTTATTAGATATACATACCTATATATCCAATATTGAAAATGTACAGAGATAATAATGTGGTGAGTAATAAAACTTGATGGTTTCCAGATGACATTTACATTTCAGTAGCCTGACTGCCAAGCTAGAATGAGCCTTATTACTAGATGATTTGAAGATCATTATAACATTATTTTAGGATTCCTAATTGAACCTATAAGGTTATGGAGTAATTTTTTTCTTGAGAAGTGGAAACTGATATCTTGGAGGGACTATAATTTAAATAATGCTCACTAGCTTCTCTTAATTTTCAGTAATTACAATAACCAGAATATTGTAGGAATGTAACCTAAACTGATCATATGATGTGGAAATAACCAGTACAACTGAAGGACAGGACCGATCCATGTAAGACTCAGGAGGGAGCATCCTACCCAGAGAGATGCTACAAAAAATTTCCAAGACGCATGGACTATTCCTGAGGCCATTCACAATCTTGACTTTTGTTGGTGTTAATTGGAATCCTTTCAATTGCTCTCACATATGGTTTGCGTATGTTTGAAATCCCACCTGCAAATTGCCTGCCTCCTTAGAGTAAGTCCCATAGTAGTTTTCACTATATATATAAGTTAAGAATTAACTTAACTGGACTTAATAACAAATGTACTCATATGCATATAGGTACATGCACACACACATATAGATAGATACAGTAAAACCTATGAAAGATGGAATCTGTGTAATGTGGAAACCTTTCAGAGAAGGATAAATCAAATCTTTTCCATGAATGATACAAGAGTGGTCAGACAGCACCCTGTCAAAGGTGCTAATTATCTTATGGAGCCCTGGTGTGGTGCTGCAGGACAATGTACTGGAACCCAAGGTTGGTTTCAATTGCAAAGCCAGCAGCTGGAACTCACCAGCTGCTCTTTGGAAACCCTTTATATGGTCCCTGTGAGTGGGAACCAGCTTGACAGCACTTAACAGTAACAACAATTGCCTTACATTCAATATTCCCTTAATTCAAGACCAATATATTCAAGAGAAAAAAAATACAAAATTATATTCTTAGAGCACATCCTCCTTCCATCACTTGCTAGAGAAACTTCAAAAGGACACACGATAAACACTCTTCAAGCACTGAGAGAGTATTACTGTGCTTATAGTTTAGAAAAACACGAAGCAGCATACACATAGTAAGAAATCATTATATGTTTGTTCAATGAATATGAAAATCCTCCAACTCCAATGTGCTGCATTGTAACTTTTTATATCTGTTCTTCCCTTTTGGGACATGGTGGCTCCACATGATAAGCACTGGACTACAAACCACAAGGTCTGCAGTTTAAAACCACCAACCACTCTGTGGGAGAAAGATAAGGCTTTTTGTTCCCGTGAAGATATAAAGCCTCAGAAACCCTAAGCAGTGTAGCTGAGAGTTGAAACCAACTAGACACCACTTAGCAACAACAACGACAGTTCTTCCCTTCTAAGATTTAAATTAATTGTTGGCAAAAGTGTGTCTTTGTAACTTTATACTTTAGATTGCAGCATACTTCCTGGTGTATGGAGACTGCTCAGACATTTATGAGTAAATGTGTAGATGTTTTTGTTAAGTGCCGTCAAGTCAGTTCAGACCCATAGTGACCCTGTAAAGGGTTTCCAAGGAGCAGCTGGTGAGCTTGAACTGCCAACCTTGCAGTTCAAGTGACTTTGCAGTCTGGTGTATTAACCCACAGCACCAATAGCAGAACAAAAACTTTGTACCTTCTCAGGATCCTAAAAGGTAAATTTAAAAATCAGCAATATATTTATTCAATCCTGATAAGGTTGAGTTCTTCATCACTTTATTAATGTCTATATTAGAAAAAATTGCTTTGCTGAAGATTAGTTTCAGTTCTTGTCTTGATGTTTTCTGGGTCATCAGTTATCTATACTACTGAGCTGCTAACTTCAGGTGTTTTCACTGAAGTAGGAGTGTTATGGAAAGATTTGAAAAGGAAAGTATGACTAGAAGGGGAGATACTAACTGGTCCTGAAACAGTGAGGTCATTTGCAAACACAAGGAGCAAGAACAAGCAAGAGCTATAGCCTGAATAATGCATTTCCCAAACTCCTTAAACTCAGTGGGATAAAACAACCATCACTTATTATTATAATTCTGTGGGATATTTGAGCACATCTGCAATCTATGTTTCTCATATTACTTGGACAGTAGATTAACCAGAATATGTTCTTCCCTTTCAAATGGCCACCCAGAAGGACTAGGAAAAAAATCATACCACTTCCAGGCTTCCAATGATTTTATGTCAGTGTCAAAAGCAAGTCACATGGACAAGTTCAAAATCAAGAGGTGGAGAAGTACCTTCCATTAATGATAGGGCAATGACAGCATACAGATAGAGGAAGGAGAGAGAATTGAGTCTAGTCATTCTGTCAAGCACAGTAATATCTCTGGGTAGAGTCAAAATGAAAGAATTCCAAAGCAGTGCTCCCTGGATTCTCTCCTTCTAGGTGCAGTTGGCTCTGTCTGTTGTCTTCTGTGGTTCTTTCTCATCTCTGATGATCCCATGCATCATCCCTTTATCAGCTCTGGTGAGAAGGAATACATCTTGTGTGCACTGGCCCAACAGGTACACTAGTGAGTCCTCTGTCATTTTCTGCTATGTCTGCCTGGATGTCTCTGATGGAAATAGGGCAATGCAGAGAACCCCTGTTTCTGATGGAGTGGGCAGTTATTTGTGCTTTCTTCCAGGATTGTTCTCCAGCGCAATCTCTTCCCCTTAGGGCTATGTTCAAATCCCTACCAGTTTGGGCCATATTAATCTCACATTTCTGTCAATCCTGGAGTTTTCAAATCATCTTGACATACACACCGACATTTATCAGCTCTGTACTTCAAACTGATCTCACAATCGTAAGTACTGAGAAATCTCCTTGTGTTTTTCTGCTTGAATATTTAATGATGTAATATGATGCCTTCCATGTGTACAATATAAAGGAGTTAAGCTCAAGGACCCCAATGTATTTGGTTAACCTGAATTCTTAGTGACCTTAATGGGACATGCTGTTTTTTGTAGAAGGTAGGTATAGGTTGAGGACAATTTGGTATTGATAGAAAGACATCTTTTTATGGGCAACATGACATTTTTATATTCAATATATTCTATTTCGTTACACAAGGCTCTCTACTGGTAACATATGGAATGAGGAGAATATTGAAAGTGCCATGGGCTGCCAAAAGAACCAGTAGATCTGTGTCGAAAGAAGTGTAGCCAGAGTGCTCCTTGGAGGTCAGGATGGCCAAATTTCATCTCTCATACTTCAGACATATTGTCAGGAGGTCAAACTTCATCTCTCATACTTGGGACATATTGTCAGGAGGGACCAGTAGCTGGAAAAGGGTATCATCCATGGTAGGGTGGAGGGTCAGAGAAAAAGAGGAAGACCCCCAGTGAGATGGATTGGCAAAGTGGCAGCATCAATGGGCTTAAGTGTGGCAATGATAGTCAGGCTTGCCCAGGATATGGGCAGTGTTTCATTATGCTGTGCATATGGTTGCTATGAGTCAGTAACGACTCGATGGCACCTAACAACAAAACAGTTCTAACAGAACATGGGAACACTGACTAGTTTAAAATTAAGAATGGTGTGCAACAGAGTTGTATTCTTTCACCACATTTATTCAACCTGTATGCTGAGAAATTAATCTGAGAAGCTGGGTTACATGAAGAAAAACATGGCATCAGGATTAGAGGAAGACCCAATAGCAACCTGTGACATGCAGATGATACAACCTTGCTTGCTGAAAGTGAAGAGGACTTAAAATACTTACTGATGAAGAACAAAGACCACAACCTTCGGTATGGATTGCATCTCAATGTAAAGAAAACAAAAATCCTCACCACTGGATCAATAAACAACTTTCTTATCAAAGGAGAAAAGATTAAAGTTGTCAAGGACTTTATTCTTCTTGGATCAACTATCAACACTTTTGAAAGCAGCAGTCAAGGTATTTAATTACATATTGAATTAGGCAATCTGCTGCACAAGACCTTTTGAAAGTGTTGAAGAGCAAAGATATCAGCTTGAGGACTAAGGTGCTCCTGACCCAACTTATGGTATTTTCAATAACTTCATATGCATGCGAAAGCTGGACAGTGAATAAGAAAGACTTTAGAAGAATTGGTGCTTTTGAGTTATGGTGTTGGAGAAGAATATTGAAAGGGCCATGGGCTGCCAAAAGAACCAACAGATCTGTGTTGGAAGAAGTGCAGCCAGAGTGCTCCTTGGAGGCCAGGATGGCCAAATTTCATCTCTCATACTGCAGACATATTGTCAGGAGGGACCAGTCACTGGAGAAGGATATCATGTTTGGTAGGGTGGAGGGTCAGAGAAAAAGAGGAAGACCCCCAATGAGATGGACAGGCAAAGTGGCAGCATCAATGGGCTGAAGCGTAGCAACAATTGTGAGGTTGGCCCAGGACAGGTCAGTATTTTGTTCTGTTGTGCATAGAGTCACTATGAGTCGGTACTGACTCGATGACACCTAACAACAACAACAACAAACAGATTCTACCTTCTAGACATCGTGATGCTGAATAAGACGTTATTAATAAAACATCAAGTACCAATTGATTCATACTTAAATTGGTAAATAAAAATTTAACATTTTTTTCAAGTACAATGTATACAAGGAGAAAAGTGTCCACATGTATACAGTTGCCTGTGTTTTCACAAATTGAATAGATACCGTAATTGCTTTAGGGAAACCTTTTAATTCCAGTAGGTGTATGTCACAAAGTGGGGAAGAGTGCAGTAGGACACCGAGGCCTGTTAGTGACAATTCACCAGGCCATGGGATCATTGTTATACATCACACTTTGACTTAAAAAGTAGCTTTCTCATACTGAGTGAACTTTTGGTGAAAAGCTACTAAGTGACCAACAGAGAAGTAACTTGGGAAGTAAATAGGGTCATGATGCAAGCAGGCTTGAAGTACTGAAAGGAGCAGCTGGGGTCTTTTCAAAGGAGGAGAATGGCCAGAAGCAGGCAATAAAACCAGAATCACCAAACTAGAGAATCAGGACCGTGGGTGCAGAGAAGCCGTAAAGTAGGGCTGAAAGAATGACACTCTGAGCCTGGCTGTTGGAATGAGACCAAAATTGACTTGTATTTTTTTAAATAAACTTTAATTTACAGGTTAAATTACTGATTGATTACTGAATAACTTCAATCCACTGCCATCATGACCATTCAACTCATTGTGACCCCATGGGTATGAGAGTAGAGCTGGCTCACAGGGTTTTCTTGACTGCAATCTTTGTGGAAATGTATCACCAGGCCTTTCTTCTACAGAGCTATGGGGTGGGTTCAAACCAATAACCATCATAACTGAAGCAAACTATTTGTGCCATCTAGAGACCTAATATGTTTAGAAACTTTGGCATTTTAAGGAATATACAAAAAGGCAGATTGATAATGCATACTCTCATCCCTGTTCCCAAACCTACTCTGATCACTGAGACCAGTTAGCACACAAGTTTTTTGTTTGTTCTTGGTTTCTTTCTGAAAATGACAGCATATGTGAAGTGAATGCATAGTCTTATTTACCCAACTTATTTCACTCAAAACATTGCATTCTGCTTTATTTCCTATATTAGTTTTTACCACTTAACTACATTGGAGAGGCTTCTTATCAGTACAGAAGAACTTGCTAGCTGAGTGCTATTTAGTTTTTTACATGTTTTTGCGCAATGTCCACATGAAAAACTTATTCATTTATCTTTTTACACTTCTGAAATGATTGCTGTAAATATCTGAGTACCAGGTTGGTGAGTCAAAGGTATGAATTTTTTATATATTGTCAAATTGTCCTGTCTCAGTTACCTAGTGTTTCCATGACAAAAACATTCCATAAGTGGTTGGCATTTAAGAACATAGTTTATTGTGGCACAGTATGGGAGGCATTGCTTACAGGGAGGGTCTTTCCTTCTGTCACTCAGAGGTGTGACCCTGTGCCTTGGCTGCTTGTACCCACACCTTCACATGGCATCTGTCTTCCCCTGTGTGTTTCCCTTGCATGTCTGTTTTCTCATTCTGTAAAATTTATTCGAGAGGGAGGCAGTTTGTTGTTGTTGTTGTTGTTGAAATCCTTTTTTAGGGTTTCTAAGAAGTGAGTGGTGAGTTTGAACTGATGACTTTATGGTTCAAACCCACCTTGTGGCCCAGTGCTTATCTTATTGTGCCACACCAGTGGTTCAGTGCTTACCCTACAGCACCACTCATAAGAGAGCAGGTTTGTTTGGGATCCACTTTAACTTCTTTCATGTGATAAAAGAAAAGCCCTACTTAAAAATTGACTCACATTTATAAGTACAGGAGTTGGGACATCCATAATTCTGTTTGGGAAATACAATTCAAACCTTAAAATCCTCCATACCCAAAATCCAAACCCACTGTCAAAAGTTGATTGCAACTCATAGCAACCCTTTAAGACAGAGGAGTAATGCTCCCTAGGGCTCAGGAGACAGTAAGTTCTTTTGAAAACCAATTTCCTTATATTCTCCAGCAGAGCAGCTGGTGTGTTCAAACCACTGACCTTTCACTTAGCAGCTCAGTGCTTACCTCACTCTGCCACCTGCACTCATTATCCATACCAAACAAAACTCAAAACCAAACCCACTGCCAAGGAGCCAATTGCAATCCTCAGTGACCTCATACAGGGCTCAGAGACTCTCGGGCACTAAAAATATCGAGAGAGCACTTCTCCCTGCAAGCACATCACAAAACCTGCTGAATACATTTGGAATTTTGTCTATTTTTCTATGAAAAATTATATTTTCCTATCATTTTATTTTACATTTTGGTAATCATTCAATGATTGGGTTTGTTCTTACTGTTGTAGTTTTTGAGTTATAGGTAAAGTTAAGTATCTTATAATATATTTAGTAAACACTTATCTTTCTTTTCTGTAAATTGTTGAAATCCTTTGCCTATTTTAACTTACTTTCAGTCTTTTTAATATCTATCTCTAGGTGATCTCTATGAAAAGTGTACTAATCCTTTTCTGCAAAATGAGTCCTTCCTTTGCATATTTCTCTCTAGACAAACCAGTGATATTGATTCAATCCAATAATAATGATGAACATGAATTGTACTGAGTATTTAGTGAAAAGTTATAGATGTGGGCAATCAGTCTGGATCATGGTGAATGGGGATGAGAACCTGCACCTCACCTCATCTCTGGTCCTCAGAGTGGGCTCCTGTCCTCCCTGCCATCTGTGTTTGCCTTTATCTTCATGATCCTCGGAAGTCTGTTGGCAGATTTTCTTCTTTCCAGAAAATTGCTTAGACTCATCACCGTAAGAAAACTCTTCACTGCCATAGGTAAGGAGGGAGCAATTACAAGGGTGGATGTTGAATGTTCAGAGAAGCCACCTGTTTACTCTGTGTCTTTCCTCATGCCAGGAGTTATCTTCCCATCCTTGATCGTGGTGTCCCTGTACTGGGTCAGATCCAGCGCCAGCACCTTCATGATCTTCTTGGTGCTGTTTTATGCCCTCAGCAGCTTGTGCTACTCAGGAGCCTTTGTTAATTCCTTGGATATTGCTCCTCGGTAGGAACCCCGTTGCCTCATCCTCATAGAAGCTCAGTTCAGTTCAAGGAGCCCTAAACTTGTTCTAACACAGAGATGAGGTATGACATATGCAACATGTCACAGGAAAAGCCATTAACAGCCCTACACCCAAATCATCACTGAGTTTCCCCTGGTAAAACCAAGAGTGGTCAGTGACTTCTAACATCTCAACATCATGATCATAGTTCAACTGACTGAGGTTGCCCCAAAACTCTCTCTGTTGAGGAATGCAGCAGTCACACTGGATTGGATGATTGACAGGACTCATGAGACCCCCACATAGTATGTGCATGTCAGGGCTTTGATAATAGAAAGGACACTTTATAGCAGGATGAAAAATATAGGTGAAGGTCTAAGATGATTGAGACTTCTACATGTAGCACCCTAAGTTCCTTTAGTCACACAGAACAAGCTTCATCTTCAGGTAGTGCAGATACCTGGGAGATATCAGGGGAGCCATCATCTCATTCAATATGGGCCTTTTGGGTCCAAAACAAGACTGCAATCTCAAGCTCAATAGCAGAAACCAAGTGATCATATAAACTGGTCCCATTCATTTTTTATGAATAATGTTGACAAGTTAGTGCAAGGTGTGTCTTGAAGTCTCAGACTTGGCACAAGATTATATTAATAACTACTCAGTCTACGTCATTCAGTTTTTTCCAAAGTGTAGCATAACTCCAGACTTCCCAGTGATCAGCAAGCACAGCAATGCAGCAGTCCAGGTGAGATGTAGCCTTTGCTTACAGGAATATGTCCCCTCTTCTCTCTCTCATAGACATGCTGGTTTTCTCAAGGGACTATCACAAATCTTTTTACTCACAGCAGGAGCCATCTCTCCCACCACTGCTGGATTTTTCATCAGTCAGGTGAGACCATAACTCTGAAGAAAATATCCTTAATAAAAACCTCCAAGAATGTATGTAGGATTTTTAGAGGTCAACCAGGGGACAGCACCCATGTTCAAGTGAGAGAGGAGGAGTGCTCAGTTGGATGAGTTTGCATGTTCTGAGTTAGTATAAGATGAACCTCTTATACTAAACATCAGATGCTCTAACAATAATCTTGAAGTTCTTCTTATGGAATAGAGTGGCCAACCACCCTGGTTTGCCTTATACTGAGGGACTTTCTAGGATGCAGTACTATCAAGGCAAAACCCATAAAAGAATTGGACAAAATGGTGCAACTTGGTCATACTAACTGTTGTTGTTAAGTACCATTGAGTCAGTTCTGACTCATCATGACCCTGTATAGAGTTTGTAAGTAGAGGCTGGTGGTTTGAACTGCTGACCTTGTAGCTAGCAATTCAGTATTTATTCTACAGTGCCAAATCACGACTCTCAATAAATATTAATTGAATGAATGAATGAGATACTAGGTAAGTGATGGAGTGAAAGAGTGACTCGCCTCTCACATTTATGCCCCTGAATTGTTAGCACAGAAATTCCTCTCACCAGTATGGCTTATTAGTGTTTACATTCAAAGACTTTTCCATTCTAGAAACTGCATCTGCTTGTCAATTAAAACAAAACAAAACAAAACAAAAAATCCAGTTGATGACTAGAGTAAATAAGAATCTTATTCCTATAGGACATTCCTTGAAGAAATACATGAATGGCACTCACACTAATATAATCCATTACATCTTTCCCCTCATATTTTCAACCAGTATGTACAAAAATTGGAGGTGTGGAGGCAGTGGTTAAAGTTCTTGGCTGCTAACTGAAGATGGTTTGAACCCAGCAGCCACTCTTCAGGAGAGGCCCTTTGGAGCAGTTCTATTCTATCTATGTATATGCTATGAGTCGGAATTGACTCTATGGCAGCAGCTTTAAATCAGGGAAATGAATGGGGAATAATATAGAAAGGGTAATATTTATGATCTCAGGAGCCATTGTAATGCAGTAAGTTAAGCATTGAGCTGCTAACCCAAAGGTGGACAGTTCAAACCCACTAGCCCCTCTGCAGGAATAAGATGAGGCAGTCAGCTTGCTTAAACGTTATAAACTTGAGTACTCTTTGGGGCAGTTTGACTCTGTCTTGTAGAGTTGCTATGAGTCAGAATTAAAAACAGTGGATTTGATTTGGTTTATGGTTTAGGACATCAAGTTCTGGCTGTCTTTTGAACCTTAAATCCTTTTCCAACCACTGACTACCAAAATGCCAGAAAAGAGTGCAAAATGACTTTATTATCGCCCCTCACATTTATTCATCTGTCCATGCAGCAATTCAACAAATGTGTTGAAACATGATCAAGTTACCATGTTAGCAAGTGCCAAGCCCTGTTAAGGAATTAAAACAAAACAAAGTTCTTACTTCATGAAGTCTATAAAAAAGGAAACCAACAAAAAGCAAATGAAATAAGTAAAAGAAATGATTCTCTTTTTTTGTAGTAAAAGCTAACGGAAGACTGAAATGGAAAAGAGAATGTTGTTTGTTGTTGTTAAGTGCCGTGGAGTCGGTTCGGATTCAAAGCGACCCTGTATAGGGTTTCCAAGGCTGTACATCTTTACGGGAGCAGAAAGCCTCATCTTTCTCCCGCAGAACAGCTGGTAGTTTCAAACTGCTGCCCTTAAGGTTCGCAGCCCGATTGGTAACCACTACACTACCAGAGCTCCTAGGAAAAGGGAATAGGTCACCTAAAAGTTGGCAGGATTTACATTTTAAACAGTAGATAAAGAAAACCTCACTGGGAAAAAATTAGCATGTAAGCAAAAACTTAAGTGGATATTTTGATTAATAGTGTTCAACAGCCTCAAGGCAGACATGTTCCTGGCACACAGGTAGCAACCAGAAAGTCCCCCTGGAGGCTGAAGCAGGTTTAAGGGAGGGACTTTCTAGTTGTTCTTTCTAAGCCATGAGGGACAAGACCTGAGTTATAGTTAATCACTTGTTGTTTTTTTTTTTTTGCTTCCAGGATTCAGAGGTGGGTTGGAGAAATGTCTTCTTGCTTTCAGCTGCTATTAACATCTTGGGCTTGATGTTCTACCTCCTTTTTGCCAAAGCAGATGTCCAGGACTGGGCTGAAAGGCAGACAGTCACCCATTTCTAAGAAAATTACTCGATCCTTGTTTCCCTCATGAATGATCTCCTTAGTGTCTGCTTGACTGATTCGATATTGAATTTGAAATGACTTTGTTTCTTATGTGTCCCAGCATCCTTGGCTATTGCAATACTGAATATTCTGCATGATGATTTTATGGGGAAATAAAAGACTGGTTGTTTACCTCTGAGCTTCTGAAGTCATAGATGTGTCTAATTTTCTTCATGTCCTCTACTCTTTACCCTATTACCCTGGTAAAAGCATCAATATTTTTTTAATCAAAGGAAAGGAGGAAGTCAAAACCCATAGGACTGAAAACTGATGATCATAAGGGGAGTTTTATCCAAACACCCAGAAAATTAATCCTGAGAGCTGACATTAGAAGAAAGATCAATGCCATAGAAACCACAATGTAACAACCCAAATTTCTAGGCCTACCGGCAAAACCAAACAAGTTTGCGCTCACCAGTGAAGAGGTATACAGGACTGTTCTAAGGTTTAGTATAGGCAGAATTCCTAGTTTAAAAATTCCTAAAAGGTTGTTGTTGGGTGCTCTCTAGTTGGTTTTAACTCATAGCAACCCTACGCACAACAGAATGAAACTTTAGTTTTGCACCATCCTCACCATTGTTGTTATGTTTGAGTCCATCGTTGCTGTCACTGTGTCCACCTATCTTCTTCTTCTTCTTTTTTTTTTTAAATTAAATGTTTTTATTTTGGATTGAGTGAAAGTTTACAGGGCACATCATCAGCTTCACATTCAACCATTCATATAGCTTGTTTCATTACATTGATTATTATCCCCTCCATATATCACCAGTTAACAGTGTTTCTCTCTATCCTCTTTAGCTTTTTTTTTTTGGATTGAGGAGGGGACTTGCCTTTTTGGAATTTACAGTCTCGGCTTTTAAGGAAGGTTTTTACATTTGTCTGTGGATATCCAGGGCTCATGTATGAGATTACTAACAAGCATTACTGAATAATCAGATGAGGGACAGTTTGCTATGTCTACTAGGTAGCTAAAGTCTGATCCTCAGAGCCTATGATTTGGACGGTCAACAACGTTTGGGCCCACAGGGGCTTGACCTCCTGACTGGGTCTGCACGGTCTGCATCAGATTCCTCCTTATTTATTGTTTGTTTAAGGGACGCTGCCTGTCTTAGGGGGTCAGTACGAATTCCTCAGTCTTACCAGTCATTGAAACTCATTGCAGCATGGCAATGGCTCTGTCTTAAGTTGCCGAGGTTCCACGTGATCCTTACCTGTCTCTGACCACACGTCCAGCATAAACAGCCGCCATCCGAGGAAGGCAGGGAGGGAGGAGATCGGCTGGGGACCCCATACGCAAGACGTTGCCAGCCCACCACCTGCTCTAAGGTGACCAAGCGGGATCACTATGCTGAGGTTCAATCAAGTTCTTAGGGGATCTTATTCTCTAGCAGGGGTAGCAAATTAGTAGCCACTCAGTGCTCAGTTTGAGAATTACTTATATCATAAATTTGAGCATGTAGCTGATGAATATCCACAGACAAGTGTATATTGTTCCACGCCTCCTAAAATGCTGTTGGATTAAGTTCCAATCGAGTTCTGGATTACTGAAAGATAACACAGATCTACTTATCCCATGAATAACCTTAGCTCCGAGTGTAATCTGGATATATTGGGTCTTATTTCCCTTAAGCGATCTTCCTTTCTCTAAAGCATTTAGTCTGTTTTGTAAACCTTTGTCTATTTACTCTTGGATCATATGAGCGAGACTAATATCCCTAGACAGTTGATTTACATGGTGGGCAGGTCCACCTATCTTCTTGAAGATGTGCTTTTTTGCTGACCTTTATCAAGCATGAAGTCATTCTCCAGGGATTGGCCCTTGTGACAACATGTCCAAGTTTTGACAGACAAAGTCTTGCCACCCTAGCTTCTAAGGAGTATTTATTCATTCACACTGTATTTCTTCTGAGACAGATTTGTATTTTTCTCCTGGTAGTCCATGGTACATGAGCCATTTCCTTGATAGTTTGTGAGTTGTTTGAGACACAACAAATTATAGACCCAAAACTGGGAGGAAAAGTATGACAGGGAGCAGGAGCAGATGAGTTTAGAAATGAGGGAATAGCACAGCAATTTGGAAAATTGGACATTTGGGACATCTTTAACCTCCACCTCATAGAGTTCAGTCTTATATTAATCCTTCCAAGAGCTATTGTTCACACAAGGGTGGTGTTGTTGGCAGGAGTTATCTGACAAAATTTAGGGGCCAAATGTACATATCTGCTGATTGTAAGCCACAGTTTGGTTGTCAGCAATATCAGCTCTATCACAATAAGATAGAAGGATTTCTTTCAGGACATAAGCAATGACATTTAGATCTTTTATGTGGCTCTGAAGCGGTGGCACTGAAGACTTAAGACCATCTTTTCTTTCACCACTTTGTCAAGCAAAAATAGGACCAATCAACAAACTTCCTTATACTTCTCCTTCTGACAAAATTATAGCCACGTATTCAGTAAGCAATCACTCTTATTGCTGTGATCACCTCATGCTATGGAGCAGTGCCCTGCTTACTGTTGAAGGCAGAGTCATCAGTGCCTTTAAGTCTAGCCAGACTTGTGATACAATTTAGAAAATGCATTCTTGAAATTATGTTTCTTTAGAACCAGTCTCAGAACAAAAAGTCTTAGATAGGGTTCTTTGAGAAGCAAAACCACTAAATTTATATGAGACAAAAATTATCCACACTCTGGCTGTAGAATTTTATTTTCTCTTAGCCAATTTGGATGCCATTAATTTCCCTGTCTTGCTGTATAGCTCTTGTTAAGACTTCCAGCACAATGTTGAATAGGAGTGGTGACAAAGGGCATCCTTGTCTCGTTCCGGTTCACAGAGGGAAGGCTTTCAGTTTCTCTCCATTGAGCGTAATTGTCAAATGCCTTTTCTGCATCAATTGATATGCTCATGTGGTTCTTTTCTTTTTACTTATTTATATGGTGGATTGCATTGATTGTTTTTCTAATGTTGAACCATCCTTGAATCCCTGAATGAATCCTACTTGACCATGATATATTATCTTTTTGATGTGCTGCTGGATTCTGTTGGCTAGAATTTTGTTGAGAATTTTTGCATCTACGTTCATGAGGGATATTGGTCTATAATTTTCTTTCTTAGTGACATCCTTCCCTGGTTTTGGTATGAGGGTTATGCTTGCTTCATTGCCGGGGTCTGGCCTCGGCAAGGGGGTGAGGACCCGAAGATGGGGTGTCCGGTGACGATGGCG